TTTCAGTACCTAAACGTGTTTCAAATGTTGTGAAAAGGAATGGCAACATTACAAAGTGAAAAATGCTTTACTGTTCCAACTTATTTTAAAATGTGTTGCAAGAACCAAATCTGGAATACTCCTGGAGAGCCACAGCACTGCAGAGTTTAGCACCAATCACCTTCTTAAGTCTCTAGTCTCTAGTAGTCTTAAGCACTTTGCTTGTTTGGATCAGCTGTGTTTGATTAAAGTTGGAGCAAAACTGTGCAGACCCTCCAGAAATTGAGTTTAAAATCTACCATTAAAAATACTTTTCAGCCTTTTTGTAAAATTCGCAAATGACTTTGAAATGTAATGTCATTTTTTTTTGCTGCTGCTGCAGGAGATCATGATAATATATATACAGTTGAAGTCAGAATTATTAGCCCCCTTCGATTTTTTTTCTTCTTTTTTAAATAATTTCCAAATGGTGTTCAACAGAGCAAGGACATTTTTACAGTATGTCTGATAATATTTTTTCTTCTGGAGAAAGTCTTATTTGTTTTATTTTGGCTAGAATAAAAGCAGTTTTGAATTTTTTATGAACCATTTTAGGGACAAAATTATTAGCCTCTTTAAGCTATATTTTTTATTCATAGTCTACAAAACAAACCACTGTTATACAATAACTTGCCTAATTCCCCTAACCTGCCTAGTTAACTTAATTAACCTAGTTAAGCCTTTAAATGTCACTTTAAGCTGTATAGAAGTGTCTTGAAAATATCATTTAAAATATTATTTACAGTCATCACGGCAAAGATAAAATAAATCAGTTGTTAGAAATGAGTTATTAAAACTATTATGTTTAGAAATGTGTTGAAAAATCTTCTCTCCCTTAAACAGAAATTAGGGAAAAAATAAACAAGCGGTCTAATAATTTACCGGGGCTAATAATTCTGACTTCAACTGTATATATATATATATATATATATATATATATATATATATATATATATATATATATATATATATATATATATATATATATATATATATATATATATATATATTACTTTTAGCCTTTAAAAATGAACCAAAAAAAAAAAAAACATGAAAAAAGTGTTTGTGTGTGAGTCTGCGCATGTGTGCATGCGTATGTGTCTGTGTATGTGTGTGCGTTTGTCTTGGTGAATGTCTTGCTTGTCATTCACTCAGTCACCCTCTCCAGTAGGTCGAGAAGGGGTTGACCAAAGTTATGGACATCCTTTATTTATTTTATTTATTTTTTGGGATAACCAAACTAAGCTTTGGTCACCCCTCAGTAACCCTGTGGCAGACCCCTTTGTCTTTTAACCTAAGGGGCTATGACAGAAACAATACTGATAGTAGGCAAACACTTTTCTAGAGGAATGTGGTGAATAGCCAGACTAAGTACTTCTCAGCCCAGGCCGCTGTCTAGAACAAAAGGTGCATAATAGTGGGTCCCACACCAAGCGACAGGGCGGACTGCATTAAAAACAGCTCGGGACCAAGATTTGAGTGCGAACTTTGATCCCATAATTCTTCTTTTCTTTTTTTACTTTGAAAAATCATATAACTTTTAGCCCTTGCAACTTGTGTCACAATATGCCATCATTGAAGGAAGGTCTGGAATGCCCTGCTGGTTGGGCAACATTTCAATGGCACCTACTACCTCAATTTCACTTCAATTATTTATGAAGCAATAGCCACTTGAGACTACCTACAGGATACTTTATGAATGTTTCATGCATAAAGTCAATGACAACTTTTCATTCATTAATTTTCTTTTCTGCTTAGTTCATTTATTAATCCGGGGTTGTCACAGCAGAATGAACCACCAACTTATCCAGCACGCTTTTCTGCAGCGGATGTCCTTTCCCATCTCTGGGAAACATTTATACACACTCATTCATACTCATACACTACAGAAAATTTAGCCTATTCAATTCACCTGTACCGCATGTCTTTGGACTGTAGGGAAAACTGGAGCCCCTGAAGGAAACCCATGCAAACGCAGGGAGAACATGCAAATCCACACAGAAATGCCAACTGACCCAGCCGAGGTTCAAACCAGCGACTTTCTTGCTGTGAGGCGACAGCACTACCTACTGCGCCACTGCGCCACCTTTACAAATTTTGTTTGTTTGTATTTAATAAGGTAGAGCTTACTATGCTATTTATACATTCTCCCCTTTACAGTACTCCAACTGGGTATATCTTTAGCCTTGGCCCAACAGAGTGTGTAGGGATAGTGCAAGATTTGGATCTTTCTTAGTTTCTTTTTCTACACAAATACATCACTCAAAGTGTATGAAATTGCCACAAAATGCAGTGCTAGTTCACCAAAATAGTTAAAATCACCAAAATGTCCATTTTTACTTTAAGACAACAGTATGTTGTACTTGTTGTGTGTATTAAAAATGAGCGTTATCACTTTTATTCTGTTTTTTTTTTTTTGAGGCACAACGTATTATTATTGTCTACTCAGTCTTTTTGACCATAAAACATTTAGCTACAAACAAAAGATGTTATGAACAATTAGAAATAAATATTTAATTAATAATATTAAGACAAATGTGCTGGGGGCTTGGGCAAAAAAGAGAATAAACTGCCTCATTAATGCATCCTGCATGCTGCCCTGAACTTTTTACTTTTACCTGTAAGTACATGTTCATATTATATTATAGTCCCTTGTTTGTCTAACAAATTCAAAGAAATGCATACCTCCCAGCTAGTAAAATTCATGTGGCTCAAATTCGGCCCACACCAGACACTTACATCCAACCCACATACCGCATGGAATGATGGCACTTTGGCGGTCCGCTCCTGTTTGCCAGAACTGACACTATTCTGAGCCAAAATTTGCTTTTATTCTGGCCTACACCTTATACCTTACACCATGCATTGCAGTATAAATACATTCTATAGCTTATCGATGCTCCAGTTTTCATTATTTAATTTTGATTCTGCTTTTTATGCTGACGTTGTTGATTTTGTCACTTCTAGTATCCTTTATGTGATGTGAGTTTTGTTCATTTTGTTAATAGTCATCGCGGTTAAGGTTTATACGCTGATAATTAATCTCTCTGTGAACAGAAGTTGAACCATTTTTTTTTAAAGCTTATAAACCCTCATAATTCTGTGGCATGTGCAAGCATGTTCTTACGTTACTTTTAATAATAGATTAAACATTAGTTAACATCAGTGAATCATATTGTTTCATCACAGGTTGTGCTTCACTTAATTTTCTTGTGTTTTTTTCCCACCTGGCTTGTTTGCTGTAATGAATAAACTTTTTAAGCAAAGTTTTTTTTTTTCACAAAAGAAAGCTTACTTTGCCGAATATTTACCAAAAGTGGCCCACATGCATTTTAAGATAACTGGGCCACATTTTCCATATCTTCTCTGGGCCACTATAGGCTACCAGCTGCATTAGCCAGAGTTTACTGTGCCGGATATTTGCCAAAAGTGGCCCACAAATGTCTTAAGATAACTGGACCACATTTGCACTTACATGTGTAAGCCACTTTTGGTTTAGACCCAGATTACCCTTAAATGACTATGCCACATTTTGGCAACTGGCCCACATTTGTCCTTCATCATTTGGGCCAAATTCATTATTATCCACACACATGGGTCACATTAGGCTCACATTCAGATTACATTTTCCCATAAGTGCCAAATCTTTGCCTTAAATGGCCCATATGTGAAGTTGAATCGTTGGTCCCCCTTTGCCATTGTATATGTGAGCCACTTCAGGCTCACATTCATTTTGTCTGGACCTAAGGAATACCACCAGTGCTGCATAACTGCCTAAAGTGGCCCACATTCATTTGTTATCTGGGCTGGGTCACCCCATAGAAACTGTGTCTGTTCACTGTAAATAAATTATTAACAGATAGTGATTTTAATACACTCTGTCTTACTGAAAACTGGCTTAAACCTAATGACTATATTAGTTTAAATGAAGCCACTGGTTCAGGATATGTTTATACAAATGAATCCCATGAGAATGGTAATGGAGTTGCATAGTAAAAATGTTATTCAGTCTTTATTGTTAATCAGAGAAACTGATATGCTTAATTCTTTTGAAGAGCTTAATGTTTTGCTTTCAGGTACTCAGAAAAAAACTTTACTGAAAAATCAGTGTTTGATTTTAACATCCACATGAATGAAACTAATGGTAGGTTATGACTAGTGTACCTAGTGTGCCACACTTAATTTTATTGTGTTTTTTTTACTTGGTTAAGAATTCAGCGCTCCTAACTGGTTTGCAAACACAGATACAGGGACACTGTTCGTACTCTTTTATTGTATGTATTAACATGCCACTAAAGCAGGTTGTAAAATAATGAAAACTGTTAGATGAACTTTACTTCTGAATAATGAGGAGACCCAAAATTCTTCCATCATCATACATCATTAAATATTGTTTCACAAACAAAGTAACCAAAAAATAACTTACATTTTGAGGAATAAAAAATATTCCTGTGATGTAATATAAGATAAATATGAATAATTTATCTGTTTAAGCTGGGACACTCTGCTACAACATATTAGACATATGACAGTTACTAGCCATTTACAAACAACATCATGCTGTATACACAACAATGAACATACCAAATTGATTTTATGTAAAAATGTATGGTGTGAAAACTGTAATGTTAGGTTACAATTACACTTTGCTTTTGGATTCATAAACTATATGGTTATTGCAATATTAAAGACTAATTGTATTGTCTCTTTCAGCCATTTGTGTCTAGAAACCAGATGATGTGTTTTAGCAGACCAGACCATATGGTGCATGTTTTTGATAAGATGTTTTTAATTAAGACAATTAAGTCTCCACATTCTTACCATGTCAACACCCCAATTTCTCGTAACTCAATAACTTAAGAAAATGACTGAACACTAAAGTAATACTAACAGCTGGTCAAATGAAAGCAGACAAATTATTTTAAGCTTTTAAGCTTTTTTAAGCTGCAATATTAGGAGTTAGAAAGGAGGAGGCTACTTACAGATGTAGTAGTATTCATGGCCTGGACGGAACTCAAAGCCCAAAGAGAAGGGTGTGAACAGCTGGAACTTCTCTGAGAACTTGAGGGGCCCATTTGGACTTATTGGGCGGTTGCATTCCCAGCGTTTAAATCCTTTCATGTGGTGGTTGCAGGTGGTATAGCCATCATAGTTGACCATGAAAAGGATGTAGCGTTCCATGCGCTCTTGAGGAAGATGTTCCTCATAGTGTGGACAGTATATATCCAGATAGTCATTAATGGCCACCTCCACAGTGTATTCACCATTCAAGAATCTAAGGGAATAAACAAAAATTTAAAACTTACAAAGCTGCAAAGTTATCAAAAAGCCAGAACAAAGACTGAGAACAACAAATTCTAATCAAAAACTTATTTGTCAAATACATTTCTGGTACCTTCTGTCACTCATGGTGGGTGTATATAACAGCATGGGATTGGTCAAGAGGATCTTAATGCAGAAATGACTGAAATGACCATGTTAAGTGGATGAACAGAGATAGACAGGAGTTGAAATAGAGAAAGCCACATCATTAAGGATTTTTCACAACAAAGGTGTTGGCTGGCTAGTGCAATTTAGATTACCTGAGTAATCTTAATTGCCAGGTAACAGAGTACCTGCATGAAGACTCAACTTAACATGCAAAAACTGTAGAACTTTGACTTCATGTGCAGATAAACATTTGGATACTTGGAGTTTATCTAAAAATATCAATTTTGTAAATGGCTTGTAACCTTTATCTTAGATTCAAGATATATGGTTTTCTAGATTCAGTAGAATATAGCAAGCCCTACATTTCCTTCTAGTATCTACTGTAGCTTTTACAAATCGAAGTGGTTTTCCTCCTTGCAGATTTCTATTTTTTTGTGTGTATTCACTTCTGTTATATACAGGGTGAAGATAACATGATTAAGATCTAACAGCTCCAAGATATACTAATGGTTTGTCTTCAGTGTAATTGGTACACCTGCTCCATTCCCTTTTTCTCCTCAGCATCAAAGCAGCCTCTTCAATACAGTACATACAGTAAAACAGCAAACTCCAATCAAATGTTCCAATCACCCCAAAACATGGTTGCATGGTTGAAAATCATGGTTATGCCAGATCGGGTATGTTTACATATGATTAATGGTGAATTTGTGATTTTATTAAATTTCCTGTAGGCTGATATTTATGTGGATGGTATTTAAATGTAATTTAAAATATAAAATATATTGACTAATTTAGGCGGTTCATTCCGCTGTGGCGACCCCGGATTAATAAAGGCACTAAGCCGACAAGAAAATGAATGAATGAATTGACTAATTCAGAAATAAAACAACAAAATGTTTATAAAATTAGTTATAAAATGAATTACAAAAATGTTTATAGGCAAAAATATTCATTCATTCATTTTTTTCCCTTTGTTAATCTGTGGTCGCCACATCGAAATGGACCGCCAACTTATCCAGCATATGTTTTACGCAACAGATACCCTTCCAGCTGCAACTATCACTGGGAAACATCCATACACACTCATTCAAACATATACACTACGGACAATTTAGCCTACAAATCTACCTATACCTCGTATCTTTGGAAATGGGGGAACCGGAACACCCCGGAACACCCGGAGGAAACCCATGCAAACACGTGGAGAACATGCAAACTCCACACAGAAACGCCAACTGACCCAGCCGAGGCTCAAATTAGCAACCTTCTTGCTGTGAGGCGAACGTGCTACCCACTGTGCCACCATGTCGCCGGCATACTTTACAGTACAAGTTAAAACCACAATTTATTTTTTCAATACATCTGCTAAACTGCAAGTTCTAGGCAAGCTTTTAATTTAACAATTTCCGTCACTTACTGTAATCTACTTCAAATCATTGGTACATGTGAAAATGTTGACATTGATTTTATTGTACTTACAAAATTACCTACTCCTTTCACTATATTTATCACTCCATCACTATCTATTAATCTTTTTTCCATTGGGTTCACTATGTTTTGACAGAGTTCGTAAATGTAGAAAAAAAGAATCCTGCATTTCGAAATGCAATGTTGGTATTTATTTAACAATATGTGGTTTTGGTGAAAAAATTTATTGTTTAGCTAATTGTGTTGTTGTGTTGCTCCATTAAGAATTTTGAAAAAGCACTTTAAGTATTGCTGAACGCTTGTTAGCAATTGAAAACAACGTAAATGGAATGAAATTCACTCTGTGTAAATATTTCATCCTCTAGGAGGCTGCTGGGGTCTGTGCTGTGCTTTCCTCCACAGCGTGATAACATGCTGCTTTTTTATCATGGGGTGAGTAAACACCTGTCTTAAAAAAATGAACCACTGCAAACAAACAAACAAGAGCGCATTAGTACCTTGTGCAAATGGAGCACACTCATTCGAGCTGACACATTTACACATGCAGGTGAAACCAAATACACATGCCTATGTAACCCTGCTGGTCCTACACCACCCAACCCGCTCCGAGCTGGGATCAAATCCGCTTGGGAGTTGGTTGCTCTAACAAGGAGGTTAAAGACTGTGGCCATTTAGAGGTCAAAGGAGTGAGGTTTACCTGCACAGAATGTCACTAGCTGGCCTCCGTTAAACCTATGCAGGAAAACCTGTAAATATCTCTCGCCTCAGATATACATACATTGTGATACCCTTCCAAATGTCATTCATCCATTTTTCCTTTCAGCTTAGCCCCGTTTCTCCCAAATGTCACCAAAACATAAGAAAAACATACAAAGGAACGGTGAGTTTGTCAGAGGGCATCAAACATAAAGGATTATGGCAATGCCATTACTGTTAAGCTAAGCATACTGTATCAGCTGCCCCACTATTCCTGACCTGCCCTTTATGTCTTTTATTTAACACCATTAGCAAAGTGCATTGTAATAATGTTATAAGCCGAGCTCAGACCACTAAGGTAGGATTGGGTGATAGACTCTTATCCAATTGGTCCCTCTTATCTTGCTCTGGTACTTTTAAAAGAGCTTGATGTATTCTTTTCATTCTCACCATGAGTACCACCAATTCCTCAACATCATCCCACTTACTCAAACATTTTGCTTGCAGACCTTAACCTTTAAAACAGGGTTGCTCAAACTTTTGCTTATGAAGGGCGAAAAAACAAACTTGATTAAGGGTGGTGGGCCAAAGGTATATACCATTAAAGCTGCAATGGTAATTTCCTGTTGTATTAAGTGAAGTTTATTCATAAACTAATTTCGAGAGGATCACGTGCTTATGATTTATCACGGCCGATCTCGCATTTGCTAATCACTGTCTTCCAATCATATGAGCCCTAAGCTACTATAAATAGCCCCAGTTTTCAGTTCACTTTATCTTCGTTTGGAAGAAACCCCCTCCCCCCTATTCTCCTCCTTTACCTCTGATTGGGCCGCACGGCGGCCCAGTGGTTAGCACTGTGAGCCCCACAGCAAGAACACTGCCAGCCCTGGTTCCACAGAACCGGTGGGGGTTTTTGTGAGGAGTTTGTATGTTCTCCCCGTGTCCACGTGGGTTTTCCCCGAGTTCTCCGGTTTCCTCCCATCATCCAAAGACATTCAACATACATAACAATCAAGCTTTTGTCTAACCCCTTGTGTTCCCTTAGCTATCGCAGCAGGGGAGTCCTGAGATCTACCGAGCTCAGGCTCCCCTCTTGCTCTGCCAACGGAAGGAAGCCCCGGGCTCGAGGAGCCCTTGAGCTCGGGGCTCTCTCCCGGGACAGCATGCCAAACAAGCTTTTATAAGTCATCAGCTAAGTGTGAACTCTTGAATATTTCAAAATACTTAGAGAAAATACTTTAACCATATTAATAATTATACTGTTTTTACATTTTATAATGGACACAATAAAAACATAAACAAACACATTTATAACACACTGGTGTTCAAAACTGAATACATGAGTCGAGCTGCACCACCTTGTGCATTGTCCTCTATCTCCATGTGACAGTATTTAAATATTTAAACATCTAATTGATGTACAGCATTTAACTGAAACATTTAATTTCAATTGGCTTTTTTTTGGCTCAACAATTAAAAAAAAAAAAAAAAGGCTACATCAAATTAGAAATGACAATGTCTGTTAAAAACATTCGCCCCAACTTTCCCATCATTCTAATACTTATCTCATATTGGATGGAAGGCCGAATAAAATGTTACCATAGGCCAACTTTTGCATATCTCTGCTCTAAATGAACTAATCATTTTGCTTTGAAATTTTCTTAAAGAAAGTTTTTAAAAAATAACCTTAACATAAAGTGCTGACCCAAAGATGAACCTGTGCTTGACCACTTTTGTTCCGATAAAGCATAAGTAATGCACTTTTACCTTTTGGTTACTCTAATTAAAGAGAATAAAAATTAAACTGCAGAAAACATTAAATACAATTTGTTATATTTATGTTTTTGTGTGTGTGTATGTGTGTGTTAAAGGTTATTTTTGAAAAAGATTTAGCCCAAATTAGAAAATGCAGATAATGTTAAGTATAGCTTGATTTTTTTAAGAATGAAGAAATTTGTTAACAATGTTTGTCATTGTAAAAAAATATATATTTTAAAAATTATGAGTTTATTCATTCATTTATTTTCCTTTAGCTTAGTCTCTATTTTAGAGGTCGCCACAGCGGAATGAACCGCCAACTATTCCAGCATATGCATTTGTTTTAGTCACTTTCAGATGCAACCCAGTACTGGTAAACACCCATAAACACTCATTCACACACATGCATACACTACGGCCGATTTAGTTTATTAAATTTACCTATAGTGCAAGTTTTTGGACTGTGGGGGAAACTGGAGCACCCAGAGGAAATCCACGTGAACATGGGGAGAACATGCAACCTCCACACAGAAATGCTAACTGACCCAGCTGAGACTTGAACCAGCCACGTTCTTGCTATGAGGTGACGGTGCTAACCACTGAGCCCCACACAGCACTCACATGTGAGTGCTAACTGCCTCATATGTTTAAATAATAATAAATAAATAAATAAATAACCAATGGACAGACAACAATAAAGCATACAGTAAGACTTGGCACACTGACACCATTTTTTCTCTTACAGTACATCAGTTAGGCTATGGTTAGGTTATAAATCAGATTAATACGATATACTGTCACTTGCTTCCATTTTACGACTCCAATTAGGACCTGAACATAAAAAATCGAATGAATGTGCAAACAATGAATGTATTCCACATCGGCATGTAGTCACAGCCAGCTGGAAGGTGTTTAGTGAAATCCATCCAAACCTTTAGCCAGCATTCTTTCATTGTAGTTACAGA